TCATCCCTCTAGGTTGTCAAGGAGCACCAGATTTGGGCTCCCTGCACCATACAGCATATCCCCACTGGCTATCTATTTTACGTATGGTAACATATGTGTTTCCATGTTTCTCTCAATTGATCCATTGTCTCCTTCCCCCATTGTGTCCACAAGTCTTTTCTCTGTGGCTGTGTCTCCACTGCTGCCCTGAAAATAGGTTTATCAGTACCACCCTTCTAGATTCCCTATATATATGTGAATATAAGGTGTTTGTTTTTTTCTTTCTGACTTGACTTCTCTGTTTGATAGGCTTGCGGTTCATCCACCTTGTTAGAACTGACTCAAATGCATTTGTTTTTAATGGCTTAGTATTCCATTGTATATATGTTTCTTTATCCATTCATCTGTTGATGGGTATCTAGGTTTCTTCCATGTCCTAGCTTTTGTAAATAGTGCTGCAGTGAACACTGGGGTATGTGTTTTTTTCATTTACTATTTTCTCGGAGTATATGCCCAATAGTAGGATTGTTGGGTCATATGGTAGTTTTATTCCTAGTTTTTTAAGGAATCTCCATACTGTTATACTGGAGAAGGAAATAGCAACCCACTCCAGTATTCTTGCCTGGAGAATCCCATGGACAGAGGAACCCGGCAGGCTACAGTCCAGAGGGGTCACAAAGAGTCGGACACAACTGAGTTACTGAACAACAATATACTGTTCTCCATAATGGCTGTATGAATTTACATTCCCACCAACAGTGCAAGAGGGTTTCCTTTTCTCTACACCCTCTCCGGCATTTATTATTTGTAGATTTTTTGATGATGGCCATTCTGACTGGTATGATGTAATACCTCATTGTAGTTTTGATTTTCATTTCTCTGATAATGAGCAATTTTGAGCATTTTTCTGTGTGACTATTGGCCATCTGTATGTCTTCTTTGGAGAAATGTCTGTTTAGGTCTTCTGCCCACTTTTTGATTGGGTTGTTTGTTTTTCTGGTATTGAGCTGCATGAGCTACTTGTATATTTTGGAGATTAATCTTTCGTCAGTTGTTTTATTTGATGTTATTTTCTCCCATTCTGAGAGTAGTCTTCACCTTGTTTATAGTTTCCTTTGCTGTGCAAAAACTTTTAAAGTTTAATTAGATCACACTTGTTTATTTTTATTTCCATTACTCTAGAAGGTGACTCATAGAGGATCTTGCTGTGATTTTTGTCAAAAAGCATTCTGCCTGTGTTTTCCTCTAAGAATTTTATAGTTTCTGGTCTTAACATTTGGTCTTTAATCCATTTTGAGTTTATATTTGTGTGTGGTATTAGGCAGTGTTCTAATTTCATTCTTTTACACGTAGCTGTCAATTTTCCCAGCACCACTTATTGAACTGTCTTTTCTTGTTGTATGTTCTTGCCTCCTTTGTCAAAGACAAGGTGCCCGTGGGTGTGTGATTTTATCTCTGGGCTTTCTATCTTGTTCCGTTGGTCTGTATTTCTGCTTTTGTGCCAGTGCTATATTGTCTGGTGAGTGCAGCTTAGTCGTATAGTCTGAAGTCGGGAGGTTGATTCCTCCAACTCCATTCTTTTTCCTCAACATTGCTTCGCCTTTTTGGGGTCTTTTGTGCTTCCATACAAATTGCGAAATTTTTTTGTTTTAGTTTTGTGAAAAATGCCCTTGGTAATTTGATAGAGCTTGCAGTGAATCTGTAGAGTGCTTCGGGTAGGCTTGTCATTTTCACAATGTCCATTTCTTCCAATCCAGGAACATGGTGTATCTCCTCAATTGTTTATATCATCTTTGATTTCTTTTGTCAGTCTGCTATAATTTTCTGTTTATGTGTTTCTGTTTTATAATTTTGTGTTTATGTATTGTTTCTTGACTGCTTTTCCTTTGTTTCTGCATTCCCTCATTTCCCTAAATTCAAAACTGCTTGAATCTCTTTGGAACTCAAGGAAGCCCTAGGAGATTAAAGCCTTTCTCTTGAAGTGATAGCTGCACTGTCATGTTAATTTCAGCATTATTAACAGTAACCAAGAGGTAGAGGTAATTTCAATGTCCATGTGTCCATGGATGAATGGATAAAGAATATGTGATATATAAAGACTCTGTGTCTATATACAAACATATACAATGGATGATAATGCAGCCTTAAAAATGAAGGAAATCCTACCATTCATGACAACATGGATGACATTATGCTAAGTGAAATAAACTAGATGCAGAAAGACAAAAACCGTATGATCCCATTTATATGTGGACTCTAAAGAAGTCAAATTCACAGAAATGAAATAAAATGTTATCAGAGCTTGGAGAGTGGGGTATTTAGGGAGATAAAGTTCAGGAGTACAATGTTTCTATTATGCAAGATGAATAAATTCTGGAGATCTAATGCATGACAAAGTGACTGTAGTTAACATTATTGTATACTTGAAATTTTCTAAGAGGGTAAATCTTAAGTGTTCTCATCACAAAAAAAGAGTTAACTATGTTAGGTGTTGGATGTGTTAATTAGCTTGAGTGTGATTATTATTTCACATTGTATATCAAATCATCAAGTTGTTTACTTTAAATGTATACAATTTTAAATTATCAATTATACTTCAGTAAACCTGAGGAGGATAAGGTTGAATTGTGTGGGTGTGGCCAAATTCCTAAATAATTCCTACTGAGAATCTAAAGAGAAATTAGTTATCCACCAATTCAGAGGTAGATACTACAGGAAAGTTGTTAAAAATGAGCTGGAATACATTTATTATTTCTACTTTCTTAGTAAATTAAACAATTTTCTCTTAGTGCATCTTTCTGTAGAATTATTAACCTTAAATGTTAGCAGTAGGCTGAGCTCCTTCAGACGGTTGGGAAATAGGATTGTCTCTTTTTTGGTACATCTTGGTCAGGACCTCACTGCTAGAACAAATAAACTGCTCGTCTGTTTATCACCCTAAATGAACTCTGGTCAAGATTCAGAATTCAGGGGTGGGGTTCTCAACCTAACCAGCTCACTTGCCTGCCCCCTAGTGTACGGGGGTGGTAAGAGCAAGGGTCCCCTTACCAGGATCCTCCAGGAAGCTTTGCGTTCCACAGCTGCAGGGCAAGTGCTAGGATTTCCTCTGTCCACATTCCTCACAGATGGTGGGAACCAGGTGTGGCATGAATGAAAAACTAGACCTGTTCAATACGCTGAAATCTCTTATATCCTGTTCCAGAGGACCAGGCAGGTTCCCACAGAAAAAATTAATACCTAATTCATCAATGGGCAAAAATTATCCATGGGCAAATAGTGTGTAAAAAATTCTGTGAACTTTCAGTCCCTTTTTCCATTCTACATGGTCTAAAAGTTTTCACTTTCCACAACATATTCTGAAGTGGAGGTGGTGCACTTACTTTTCATTAACTGAGTTTTACCAGTGTCCTTTCCTCAGATGCCTATGTGCCTTTCTTGCATTCTGCTGTGAATATTTCCTGTAGGCCAGTTATGACTTTGAGATTCTGTTCTCCAGTGACATCCACTGGAAACCCTAAAGAGGAGTATGTGAAAGAGAAAAATGTAGTAAAAGAGCCCAAAATAAGATAGTTTATTTTAATAGATTCTCTGGCTAGTAACCACCATTTCTGCTTTACACAATTTTTCTGTCAATCTTAGAAGTTTTCTAATCCCTCTTTACTGTTTTTGTAAAAACTAATGTTAAAGTACCCTAGAAGTCTTTTTTAAGTGTTTTCATTCCTTCTCTACTGAAATGAAATAGTTGAACCTTGCTTAAGGTAGTATCTTAATGGGAGACATTCTCACTGACCTCTGCCTATTTCATTTCTAGTATTCCAATTTTAGGAGAAAATATACTGTTTACATCAGATAATGTTTCTTTATGGACATAGTGGAACAAATATTTTATTTTATTTTATTTTTTGGAACAAATATTTTAAATGCACACAGATAAAATCAGATCTCTATAAAATCAGAATATTTGTTTGTAGCTTGTAGAGACATTTAAAAGTTGTATTACTCCATTAGAATCATGGTTAATAGCCAATGGTATTGTGCAGGCTGACCTTCTCTAATGCAGGATTGTCTTGCTAGCTAGTACACTGCTGGCTGTCTGCCACCCACAACAGGACTGTGGTCTCTGAAAGTTAGTGGCAAGCACATTTTACTTCCTACTTCTGAGCTGATTGCTCAGAACCTTGGGACATTAAAGCCCTGGACTCCTGCTTGAGAATGCAGATTGCCTAGGTGATATTTTAAGGTATTTTAGAGGTAGAATTAGAGCTTTGCAAAAAGAATTATGCTTTTAATTGAACTAACAGTTCAAATGTTGAATTAGTTTTGTGAAGTTGAAATTTTGGCAGAAAGCTAGTTCTTTTCCAAGTTGTATTAATGAGTAACAGCTCTACAGAAGATGAAAATAAAACCATGAGTTGTTACAGTGGCTTCATTCTGTAGAAAATTTCTGGTAGAGTATATGGTTCAATGTAGTTGTCACTGGGGAAATTATTTTCATGAAGATTTATTGGTAGTCACTTCTATCAGAAACAATTACAGGAACCTCATAGTTTTTATTTTCTATTTTTCTATATTTTATTTCTATTTAATTCTTTTGTTTACTATTACTTCAACATTGTGAATTTTGAAGCTAAATAATCATACAGATGGAATCTCCACTCTCTTTTATGTTTTTATTGGCATCTAATTACCTGTAACTCTTAAGATATCACCATTATTTTTTAGTTACGATGTCCAGTGCAGCTTGAGTCCTTTAGTCCTTTAGTAATATCTCTGGGGAAAAGATAGGAAGCCTGAATTTCACAGGTAGCGATTTGTTACAGCAGGTAGAGAAAGAATGAAAAGCACATAGTTCAGGAGACAGAACAGTCATAGCCCCAGCCAGCCTTCCTGTAGTTCTGTCCCCAGTCTGTTAACATACCATTTTTAAAAGGTGAATTTGGGGGCCTAAATTGATACCATTAGGTTCCTCTGCCATTGCAGAGCAGTGAAGATAAAAGCACTCACCATCTTAATATCCACAGGACTGTGCTAAAGAATAATGATTTAAGATCGAGACAAGAGTTAACTGCCCACCTCACCAACCAGTGGCCTTCCCCAGGAGCTCTGGATGTCAATGCCGTTGCCTTGGACACGTTGCTTTACCGAAAACACAATAAACAGTGGTATGAGTAAGTGTGACACTTTTTTTTTTTTTCCAACTAATTACAAACTTAGTTGTACCGCAACATATGACTGTCCACTTTGGTTTCTAATACTTTTCTGAATTCATTATTAGCTCAGAGCAAAAGTAGGATTTAAGACTATTTTGGCTTGGTAAGGTTATATTAAGGCAGCGAATGTGGAAATGTTACAAAGCCACAGCACCCTGGAGAAGTAAAGACGTTGAGAAACGCTTATGTAGTATTACAGTAGCCACTCACTTCTCTACTAAATCTTCAGGCAGTCCTTCAGTATGTCAGTGAGCTTGTATTTAATGAGCCATCTGTATTTGAATTCTAGCTGTGGTGTTTGTTTTTACATTAGAACTAATTTTCATGCTTGTTCTAAAACACAAAATTCCATGTCATAAAAGGATAGAAAGAAATTAACTTGTTCTTGGTGGGTCTGAAAGAGTTTTGTTCATTTTTCAATAAATCTAATTTTGGGGGGATATTGAAGATAAAATCACTCCACCCATGGCCACAAGATCCTTTTCCTATTTCTTTGTCCCAGCATTCAGGACTGTTTTACTTAGCTACTGTTTCCCCCTGTTGAGAGCCGCAAAATCTTAGGCTCTCTTTCTTTAGGTAATCTTCATTTCAGAACTTGTAAATCGTGTTACCTTCTTTTGGCTTTTAGTTACTTTCCCATCTTGATAATTGTTTTCAATGTCTTTATTTTCATATCTTCAGCTGATTTTTCTGATGGTTTTCCCTGCTCTCCCACCATCTCCTTTGGTTTTCCCTTCCCTTCCCTTTGTCCCTCCTTCCTCTGCTTCCCTCTCTTCTCTTTCTCTTTCTTTTCTTTTCCTTTTTTTTCTCCTTCTCTCTTTTTGTTTTTTTCTCGGCTTTTCTTTTATAGCCCTTTTTAAAATTTCACTGGTAGTGCATGCATACTCAGTCACGCCCAACTCTTTGCAACCCCATGGACTATAGCCTTCCAGGCTCCTCTGTCCATGGGATTTAACCACAGGCAAGAATACTGGAGTGGGTTGCCATTTCCTCTTCTAGGGGATCTTCACAACCCAGGGATCGAACCCACGTATCCTGCGTCTCCTGCATTGGCAGGCAGGTTCTTTATCACTGAGCCACAGGGGAAGCCCTTCATTGGTAGAGCAATATACTTCTTTTTGTGCTTCTTAGGCCACCTTTCACTAGGTAATTAGTGGTCTGACACTACATTTCCTTGTAGAAACTACAAGGAATGTCTTAGCACAGGCCTAATTTCTGCCCACTTTCCTCTGTGATTTTTCTCATTTCAGAGATAGAACTCAAAATACATTTTTACCTTTTTTTGTTTAAAAAAGATTGCTGGAGGCTTTTATGTTTACTTGCCTATTAGTTTCATTGATTGTTAGAGATAAGTAGGGAAATATGAGCCAGTTATTTACAAAATGAATCAGTAGAACTCTCTTCATCATCTTCTGCACCACACTGAGTATGATTCAAGGTGTTGCCTGGGTCTTTCATGGATTGGAACCTAGTTCCCCTTATATCCTATGAAAGATTTAAATAACTGGAATATATCTTATTATTCTAGTATATAATTTTATCTTTCTGTGACACATTTAATGTATGCAAAAATATTTATTTGTATTTCTAATTTATAATTGAAATCCTGAATTTATAGCAATACTTGGTATACTTATCTATAACATAAGATGCTCCTGCTTTTATAACTGCAAAAATATTATTATATCCTGACAAATTAAAAGACTAGTAACTGTGCTTTTTATTACAACATCTATGTTGTCACTTTAGATAGTGGGTGGTAAAATGTTTTAGCAGAAAGACATGTACATACCACTGCCTGCCCATAGAGCTGTCCCCTGGGGCACCAGTGAGGACATCCAAGTGGAAGATTTGTTTCTGGGTTACCTCTGCATGTAGTAATAGTGGCTGTCTTCTACAAAATATTGTAGCAGCAACAAGAGTAATTGCAGTCTCAGAAAAGAATCCAGCGAAACTGCCTGTTTAGAATGGATCCAGATTTTGTTCCTCTTGACTTGGTTTCTCCATTAGGTTAAGAAAGGATACCCGTTCCTTCTTAGCATCATCAATTTTTAATCTAGCCAGACCTCTGATGTTGGCACTGCTTTTCTGTGACCCTGTTGCCAAACTGATATCCCTGAACAAAAGTACGCACTTGGGGCAGTGCTGACATCCCTGTACCTAAAGTCAGGATTTGAGAGTGTTTCTGTTGCTTCCTTGCCGTTTAACACTAAGTGTGACTCCTTGCTTTTGTTTATGCACATGTACTGGCGTGGGGGTAATGCTTATTTAAAGGGAATTGTAAGAGTCATCTGAGGCAGTAAATTGCTTGGCACCTAATCCCTTTCTGATGAAACTTTATTTATTTATAGTCTTTTAATATTTTCTGTTTGGACTCTTATATAACCTTATGTCTTTCATGTTTAGACAATATCCACTCACCTGATATCCTCCTATTTCTTAGAGAGCTCTTAAAGCCCTATCTAAATTTAAAATGACCAACAAATTCCCAGTTGTTCGAAATAAATAATAGCAACTTTTTCATGTTAGAAATGGACATTTTCATGTAGAAATGGATTTTCAGAACAGAGTAATGCTGTATATAAATCATGTTTGAAACACATCATAGCTTTTCATCAAGATACAGTTTTTGCTTTCCTCAGATTTATGATACAGGCCAAAGTCATTGAACTGACCTGATCACCAATTCCTCTTCATTTTATCAGTGTCTTAAATAAGTCCAACAAACATTTGTGAGAAACTGCAGATCATGAAGGAGGTAGCCAGAGCCTCCTTAACAGGGAACATTAGCTCTCTTAATAATATGGAGAAAGAAACTGACCCTGTAATGAGTCATTGAAATTTCATGCTAAGGATATGGAAGGTCTGTAAGTTAACTTCTCCAGGGCTCTGTAAATGTATTTTCCCACTTGGGTTTTAGAAAAAAGAGAGTGTGCTATTTGATGTAATGAATTTTGTGGTAAAATGACCTGTTGGGTAACTTGGCTGTGATCACCTTGTCATGGAAGGACCCCTTTCACAAGAGATCTTAAATTTATTTCTCTTTACTACACTGTTTATAAAGCTTTAAACATATCACTTCAAATTTATTTCTAGATTATTTAGACTGACAAGATTAGTTATATGGGATTTTATTATATCTCTTCCTTTACTTCAAACATTGGCATATCATGTTAAAAAATTTTAAGGCATTTAAGGCATTACTGTAAAAGCTCAACAATAAATAAATATATAAGGCACACTCCCTAACACACACACCGAGCAATTGATTCTTTTTTCTTTCCACTAAGTTCTTTTTTAATATATGTCTTTATATGCAAAGTCTAGGTCACATGAGCTTGTTAAATATCTGTTATATAATCTTGTTAGATTATCTGTTATATAACTTTGTTAGATTATTCCTATTCCAGATCAGATCCATTGTCACCATATATGTATCTTCTACTTACACTTTTTTTTAGGCTTCTGAATTTATCATTGTCTCCCAATTTGGCTTCCATTCACAAAATTATTAAGAATTATGAGGGTTTTTTATGCCCTTCATGATCTACTATTTAGGCCTATTTTTCTTAATGATTTCCAGTGCATTTGATATAATCACTTCATGTGTATTCCAGGTTCTCCTTCTCATGTGTGTCTATTAAAGCACTGAGGTTGTAGAAATCTTTTACAAATTATGTTTTGTATTGACCTGACTCACATTTTGTCTTCTTTTAAGCTCCCTTGCATCCTTCCATTTTTAGTAAATTAAGTGTTTATAGATGTTCTGCTGTAGCAAATGTTTACTTTGTTCCTTAACCATACTTCCGTGGAAATCAAACCAAGAATAAAAAGAACAACTTCCATGCACAGTAATGTGCCTCTGTGTATAGAATGAGTGCATATATTTGTTTCTATTTTCTACATATGGATAGTTTATTCTTCTGTTTATCACACTCTGTTGTCCAGTGACTACCAGATAATATAAATTATTGCTGACCTCAAGATATCTAATGGGCAAATAAGTAATGTAAATTAGCCACATCATTGTGTATGCATTGATATGAAGTATAAGACTGTAGAAAAATTTACTTATAATTGCATTGACGTATCACTCAGTTTCCTTTAATTTGCCTTTATTTTGGTACCCAGTTCTATATATAGAAGTTTGAATTTGAGTGGTTTTTAAATGTTCCTATAGTAAGAAATAATTTTATTATATCTCAAGTGCTCACAACAGTTCCTACAATTTTAAATTATATTTAACAATGTAATGGCATAGGGTAAACTGCGAACTTTTATATAGTCAATGCATGACTCTTACTATCTGGGTTCTTATTTTGATTAAGCTCTTGCTGTTTAAAAAATTTAACTCTGAGAAATAGGAACAGACTGTTACCTGGCTTGGTGTATCTGGTGGTGGTGGTGGTTTAGTCGCTAAGTTGTGTCCGACTCTTGCGACCCCATGGACTGTACCCCGCCAGGCTCCTCTGTCCATGGGATTCTCCAGGCAAGAATACTGGACTGGGTTACTATTTCCATCTCCAGACGATCTTCCCAACCCAGAGATTGAACCTGGGTCTTCTGCCTTGCAGGCAGATTCTTTATCAACTTAGCTACGAAATAAAGAAAGAAAGTGAAGTTGCTCAGTCATGTCCAACTCGTAGCGACCCCATGGACTGCAGCCTACCAGGCTCCTCCGTCCATGGGATTTTCCAGGCAAGAGGACTGGGGTGGGGTGCCACTGCCTTCTCCATAGAGTCAGGCTACCAGGTGCAAATCTCATCTCCTGTGTCCCAGTCCTCTTCTGTAAACTGGGGATGATAATAATTCCAACCTCTTCTGGTAGCCGTTAGCATTAAGGAAGTTAATATATATGCACATGTAGAACAGCGCCTAGCATTTGATAAGTGCTATATAAATATTGGGTAACATTTTTTGTTACGTGTTATATATGTGTGTTATCTGTTACAATTATCAGAAGTTTCCTACAGAGACTATCTTGCTATTTAAAATTATGAGTAAGAACTTTTAGACTCTCAACATTTGAAAAGTCATCACTGTTGTAAAGTGAGAAAGTGCTCACGTTGTAAGCTAGGAAGCTATTCCATCACCTCATCCTTCACCTCATTTCTTAAAGGAAAAGACAAATAGGTGCCAGCTGTATCCCCCTCATACTTAATACACACACAGCAGATAAATCTGTGAGCCTCCTCTTGTGTGTATGAATAGAGAAGAGCTATGTCATAGATCACTTAGATTATACATATTTTCTACAATATTATTATAGCATTTCTAGGAAATTAGATAGGGTTTGATTACCTTTGGAAATAAATGTTGAACCCGAAAGATGTGTTCCTCTTCCTGGATCATTTATATTTAGAAATAATACTGAATTTTGTCACATACTTGAAATGTCAGTAATACCACAGCTGCATATATCTCTTGAGTTGGTTTTATGTTGACAAAACAAATATGAGGAAGATTTGAACATTTACACATAAACATTCATTAACTTTCCATTCATAACTGAATTTTCATGTTATAATTTATTTTTAGTGAATTTATTTAATAGAAGATGGGCTCATTCATCTTGATTTTTGGCAGAAACCAACACAATACTGTAAGGCAATTATCCTTCAATTAAAAGTAAATAAATTTTTTAAAGAAATAAAATGGGCTCACAGTTGTCAATAGATGATGGAAGGAGGTTAATCATCTTGAAGGTGTATTAACACAAACAGGTATTTTACTACCCAACATTTTTTAATTTCTCAGTTACAGGAATTGTTAACAATAATTTGTTATTTTTATGTAAAAATAATCTGTAATAGTAGCAAGGTATTGTGCTTAGGAGACAATCCTCATAACAAAAATTATGTCAGTTTCATTTGTGCATTGAGAGACTTGAGGTTTTCTGCACCTTTGAAAATTGACAATGACCAGAAGTGCCTATTTCTTTACTAACCTGATCATCAAAAATAGATGTAAGGAATTGAATTTGTTTGACAGGTTGTTTCTCTTTTCTTCTTTTAGTGGATTTAACAACCTCCAAAGAGGGCAGAGGGAAAGATATAACAGTTTCTATTGCCACCATGATACAGATGAAGTTTAGGGGGCAAATGGGGAGAAATGAACCCAAAATTCAATAAATTGGAGAAAACCATTAAAGAATATCTCTAGAAATTTTTTATTGTGGGAAGAAGTTAAAGTAGTATTTCACCTTTGTCTTACAGAAAAAGTTATCAGAGCCTTGACCAGTTATCAGCTGAGGTTAGCCTTTCTCAGACTTCACTGGATCCAGGTCAGTCACAAGAAGGAGATGGAAAACAAGACACATTAAATTTAATCAGTGAAGGTAAGAAAAAAAATCTATTTGAAAATTATGTTTTCCTGCACTGTACATATTTTTGTTGCAGAAGATTGCTAAAGAATAATAGTGACATTTCTGTGAAGCAAGCTAGAAATTAAGCTGCCACTGGGAAGTGGCAACCCACTCCACTATTCTTGCCTGGAGAATCCCATGGACCGAGGAGCCTGCTGGGCTATAGCCCACTGGGTTGCAGAGTCGGACACGACTGAGCAAACTTCACTTTATGATTAAAAAACGTCGACTCTTGTTTTTATCTCATGTGTTTGTAGCTAAAGTTCTCAAAAGATATTCTGTAACTGTTAACCTTTATTTCTTCACTTCCCTGTGTTCTTTTTTATCCACTCCAATTTGGCTTTTTTTTTTCCCCCCAATTTGGCTTTTGTGTCTCTGCTACTTACTAAAATGCATTTTATAAAGTGATCAACTGCTGCCATATCGTTGACATCAGTCCCCTGTCTTTACCCTGTTAAACTTCTCAGCAGTTTTTGATCCAGCTGATGATTACTCATTCTTGAGTTCCTTTTGGTATTTCATTTTCTGAATATTCTGAAAAACTTGGGGAATAAACATAGAAGAGTCATCTTCTTCCCTGTTACTGCTTTCAGCTGTGTTCTAACCACTCCTCTTTTCCATTGAGTTGCATTTTCATGAACAACATGTTGATTCAGTTTCATAACTTTTGAGGCCACTTTCAATCATATGATCACATTTCAGTTTCCGAGACACCATCTGTTTGCTTTTAAACTTCAGTAGAATAGCTGGTTCAAAATTCTTTCCTTTCCCACTCCCACCCCCCAACTATAGGCTAGGTGTGTGACTCTAACACTTTGGATTAGATAGCTGGTGCTGGAATGATCTGATGCTCACATATTTTTCCTCTGCTCTTCTCAGTTGGTGATGCGTGTGAGGTCTAGGGAAAGACAGTTCCTTACTTCAAAGGAACTGTTTTCTTCTGTGCCTCCTTTCTTCTCTGTCGTCTTTGTGGCAGGAAATGACACCACCGCAGGCGTTATCCTAGATACTGCTCTTTGCCCTCTAACTGCGATGCATGCTGCATGCATTGATTCATCCTCTCCATTACTGCTACTGTGGTCTAGGCCACCTGAATCAAGCCTCTTGGATGGACTGCTTTCCTCTCATTCCTGCCTCCTCTCAGTCCATTCTCCATTTAGCAATCAGTAATCGTTAAAAACATAAGTCAGAATCTGTTGCCACCCACTGTGAAATTCTGTAACTGCTGTCAGTGCCAGTCAGAATAAAACCCAAACTGCTTTTCATGGCTTCCTCGTGATCTGATCCTTACCAGCTTCTGCCTCATATCGGTCCATTCTTTTGTTTGTTCTCTACACCACAGCAAACTGACCTCCAGACTCCCTCCAAGCTGGTTTCTGCCTCAGCTATCTTTACACTTCCTTTTCCCACTGCCCTGAAACGCCTTTCTTAAAATCTTTCCATGGCAACTTCTTTATCAGGTCTCTGTACAAATATCAGCTCTTTAAAGTAGTTCTCAATGACTGCCATACCTTAATTCACCACCTGTCTCCCTGTCTTCCCGTCCCAGGAACTTATCATATATATTGCCATACATTATGCTATGATCCTTACCTGTAACTCCCCACTAAGATCTAAGCTTATAAGGGTAGCTTCCTAGTGGCTCAGATAGTAAAGAATCCACCTGCAGTGTGGGACACCTGGGTTCGATTCCTGGGTTGGGAAGATCCCTTGGAGGAGGGTATGGTAACCCACCCCAGTATTCTTGCATGGAGAATTCCATGGACAGAGGAGCCTGGAGGGCCACAAAAAAGTCAGACATGAATGGGTGACAAATGCTTTCACCACACATGAGGGTGGGATATCTTATGCATATTTTCACCAGTATATTGTTAGAGTCTGATGAATTATAGACAGTCATTAATATTTGTTGATAGAATAAGTATATATAAGAAGTGTCATAGACTGTGAGGAACAAATTATTGGTAGTATAAAGTAAAAATTCAGTTAACCAGAAGTCTCAGGCAATGGGAAAATTGTGATAAAATGAATTTCCTGCTTCTTTTAAGATAGTTGTTGACATGTTCTCGAAAGGCCTTAGTCTGTGTTACTAGTTTAGTGAACAGTGTATATTAAATACAAACAGATCTTTCTTTGATGATGTGGACAATAAAGATAGCATATTAGAGTGTCTTAGTGGCACTAATGTCAATGGAAAAGAGTAAACTGTCATTATTTAGAGTATGTATGTTTAAAAAACCTAATGAATACTATGAGTGGATTTCTTTATGACAGTTTTTCATATAAAAATACATTCATTCAAACTTTAATTTCTAATTTTAGGCATTTTAATATCAGTAAGATGAGATTAATAATGAGTATTTTTATACTATTAAAACAAATGTGAGACTTCCCTAGTGGTCCAGTGATTAAGACTCTGCTCTTCCACTGCTGAGAGTGTGGAGTTTGATCCCTGGTCAGGAAACTAAGATCCTGCATGCTGTGTGGTGTGGCCACAAATAATAATAAAGTAAAATTTGTTAAGGAAAAAAAAAGAAATGAGTGGAGGAGGAGGGAAGAATGAATGGGTGGCACATACAGGATTTTTAGGGCCATGGAATGGCTCCAGTGATACTAAAATGGTAGATACGTGTCATTATACATTTGTGCAGCCCATAGGATCGTCAGTATTAGGAGTGAACCCTAATATAAACTGTGGACTCTGGGTGATAATTATGTGTTCATGTGGGTTCATCTGTTGTAACAAATGTACTCTTTAGTGGGGGAGGTTAATAATGGGAGACTGTGCATGAGCAGGGGTAGGAGGTGTATGAATATGAAAAATCTCTGTACCTTCATGCTCAGTTTCTTTGTGAACCTTAATTACCCTAAAGAATACTGTGTTGGTTTTAAGAATTCAAGGTAGTGCTTTGAAAAGATAAATAAAACTGATAAACCTTCAGCTAGACTCATCAAGAAAAAAAAGATGAGACCCAAATCCATAAAATCAGAAATGGAAAAGGAGAAGTTACAGCTGACACCACAGAAATGCAAAGAATCGTAATAGATTACGAAAGTTAGTAAAATGGATGAGCAAGAAAAAAAATGGACAAATTCCTAAATGTACAATCTCCCAAGGCAGAACCAGGAAGAAATAGAAAATATGAACTGATGCATTACTAGTAATAAAATTGAATCAATAATTTTAAAACTTCAAGCAAACCAAAGTCCAGGACCAGATGGCTTCACAGGTGAATTCTACCAAACATTTAGAGAAGAGTCACCACCTCTCCTTCTGAAACTATTCCAAAAAACTGCAGAGGAAGGGACACTTCTGAACTCATTCTATGAGATCAGCATCACCCTGATACCAAAACCAGACAAAGATATCACGCAGAAAAGAAAATGATAGGCCAGTATCCCTGATGGATGTACATACATTACAGGTAGTATTCTGATCAAAATGGAAAAGAAAATAGAATTTGATAATTTTTTTCTTTAAAGGGGCCTTTCACCTGGGGATAAATAAATCATCTATTGAACAAGTCTTGGGTGAAACAGAAATATAAGTTAAAATGAAGAATTTTGAAAAAATGCCAGTGAAGACTCTGCATAGCAGATTTTGTGAGATTTACTTGTCTATGACCAACCTAGACAGCATATTAAAAAGCAGAGACATTACTTTGCCAACAAAGGTCCGTCTAGTCAAGGCTATGGTTTTTCCAGTGGTCATGTATGAATGTGAAAGTTGCACTATACAGAAAGCTGAGCACTGAAGAATTGATGCTTTTGAACTGTGGTGTTGGAGAAGACTCCTGAGAGTCCCTTGGTTTGCAAGGAGATCCAACCAGTCCACCCTAAAGGAGATCAGTCCTGGGTGTTCATTGGAGGGACTGATGCTAAAGCTGAAACTCCAATACTTTGGCTACCTGATGCGAAGAGCTGACTTATTTGAAAGGACTGTGGTGCTGGGAAAGATTGAAGGCAGGAGGAGAAGGGGACGACAGAGGATGAGATGGTGGGATGGCATCACCGACTCAATGGACATGGGTTTGGGTGGACTCCGGGTGTTGGTGATGGACAGGGAGGCCTGACGTGCTGCGGTTCATGGGGTCGCAAAGAGTCGGACTTGACTGAGTGACTGAACTGAAAAAGGAAAGAATATAAATGAGTTTTCCCAGCCCCTAAAACTAGAAAAAGAACCAAAAAGTAAATAAAAAGCACAAAAAATAAAATAATAAAGATAAAATCACAAATTAATAAGATAGAGAATCGAAAAGATATTTACTTAATAAATCAAGAAAACTTCAGTCAGTTCAGTTCAGTATTTCCCCACTAAGATGCTCATTTTAGGACAGATATACACACATATATACATATTCATGTAATGTAAGTATTACTTAGATCTTCTGTCTTGAATGGTTATCACACAAGTGTTGAATTTTTTTTATAAAAAGCCTTATAAAAAGTTTATAAGCCACCCAGTTTATGACATTTCTGGTAAAGCAGCTGAAAGGGACTAAGCTGCTTTGAACCTTTATTTACAGCTTTTTGTGTGAACCTAAGTCTTAATTTCTACGGGATAAATACCTAGGAGTACAGCTGCTAGGTTGTATGGTAGTTGCATGTTTAGGTTTTTAAGGATATGCCCAACTATTTTTCAGAGTGACTGTTCTGCTTTGATTTCCCACCAGCAATGTATGAGTGATCCAGTTTCTCCACATCCTTGCCATCTTTCGGTGTTGTCACAATTTTTTATTTTAGCCATTGCTATAGGTATGCAGTACTGTCTAAGTTCACTTCAGTCGCTCAGCGGTGTCCGACTCTTTGCGATCCCATGAATCACAGCATGCCAGGCCTCCCTGTCCATCACCAACTCCTGGAGTTTACTCAAACTCATGTCCATCAAGTCAGTGATGCCATCCAGCCATCTCATCCTCTGTCGCCCTTTCTCCTCCTGCCCCCAATCCCTCGCAGCATCAGGGTCTTTTCCA